GAACAATTCCTTAACTTCTCAACATCCCATTCACAAAAACTCTCTAAATTTCTTCTAGTATATGATTTTGTTAAACATAGAGTTTGGTCAATTATAGTTCATCAACAGCAATTGGAAGGAATGTTCAATAAATATGATATCAAAACTCACCCTAATATGCTAATATGACAGACGAAGTAAAAGAAGCAAGACTTCTTCTCTCTAGTCCAGGTAAACTGGAAGTAAGTCTTGATCATGAAGATTTAATAGCTGTTCGAAAAAAGCAACAGAGTAATATGGATGAAGAAACCAAAAAAGAGCTTGGTAAAACGGCCACTAAAGCTATTTTAAAAGAATTTGTTAAAAAAAAATAATGTTCTTTGAAAAAAAATAATGAGTTCTTCGAAAAGAATAAATGCGTTCTCAAAAAAAAAAAATCTATATAACGTCCCAAAGATCTATCCGGATATGTTAAATTTTCCATTAAAGAATCCTAACTATTGATTATTTGATATACATTATGTTTGTCAAACATATGATATCTAAAACCCCAGTACGATACTGATTCGGTATGTATATTACTGTTAGAATTAGGAATCACAGCTGATTATATAGTATAGTATGGTTTTTAATTTTGGTCAGTATCATACTGATCTGCTCACCCATACCATACTTAATATCATTTCGGCACGGGACACATTGACCGCGAAAATTCATTCATTACGCGCGCAAATGTTACACGAATATGCAATGCCCGATTCTGTGCAACAATCCAATTTTTTAATATTAGATATATAGATTTATTTCTTGGAGAATTTTCATAAGCATTATATCAATTTGTGCGACTTTATCATTTTGGCTGGTTTTATAAGGAAATCCAATCTCTTCAGTGACATATCTCATTAGACATATGAAATTAAATATAATTGACGTATCTAAACCTAGGAAGATTGGTTTTCTTCATTATATAATCGATATGTTAATATCATACCTAGTACGGCAATGAAAATTTTATTTTAAAAAAATAGGAATAATTGTTAATTTTCAAAATACTTTATTTCGTTATGCAAAATTTTGGAAATTCCTGATTTATCTCTTCTAAATTATAGAGTCGATCAATGGATCAACATTCAGTTCCACAATAAGGAACTAAATACAGTCGACACTGGATATAACGAACCTTTCTATAACGAACTCTGGATATAACGAACTCAAAAATTTTGAAATTTCATAATAGTTCGGTATAAAAAGTGGTATGGGTTCTTAAGAAACATAATTTCCCTATAAAGAACATTTTTTTCTTCCAGAATCTTCAGTTTGTTATAGAAAGAGTTGACTGTATCAACAAATTAAACCATCAAATAGTTAATTTATTGCTTAAAATATTTATCAAAGATGGAGCTATCTTGTCAAGATTAGGTCTAAATACTCACAACGATTTCGTCGAAATTAAATCTGAGATCTTTTATTTATTATAACAAAATATCAACTTATTTTCAAGAATTCGTGTTCTATCTGTCTCAGTAATACCTTTAAATAATTTTAATATAATGAAAATTGTGATTTCAAATACGAATATTACTGCAAATATTTGACTAAATTATTGACTTGAGAATTGAAATACTGTATATGATTCATGTGATTCTGATTATTTCCCACAATTATGTCACGAATCAGCATATGTTATTAAATTACAGGAGCAACTTAAATATTTATGCTCTATAATTTTCTATCTAGTGAATTCTATGACATCATCTCAGCCCTAAAAAGTCAAAAAAGAAAGTTTATTAGAAGTTGTGCTTTAGTACAGAATTCAAAGTGTTAAAAGATTGTGAAAATTTGAAAGTTGCCCATGTCTTAGATTGCAACAATGAAAATTTTAATATATTCAATTCTAAAATCAAAATTAAAATTTTAAAATTAAGTTCGGTCAAAATATTGGATATAATACAAATTTTAGAAAAATCTGGCTTACAATTACAATAAATTAAACTTATTTTATAAGATAGTTTTTATACACAGATTTCTTTCCATCTATTATTATTGAAAATACTTATAATTTTCTGTACAAATATTACTTAGCTTTATATTTTAGGTGTTGAACATTCTGCTTAATTCTTTGCAGTTTATCAAGACTTCAATTGCTTACCATATGATGGCATAATGAATGTATATGTTCTTTATTGGAAAACTAAGATGTAGATACATGTATTTAAAAATTTGCAATAATATTGTTACCAATATTATAATATCTCAATTTAAGCAATATACTGTTAGATTTAAGCATTAATATTTACTTAATCATTTGATGCACCTTTAAAAAATATTATTTCATATGCTTTCTTATAGTGAGGAAGAAATCAATATGATAATTAGATTTTGTAGAAGGAAAAGACCCTGAATATTATGAGTATAGTTAAATTTACAGGATGTTGGCAAAAAATAGGTAGATTAATCATATCACAAAAAATTGTCAGTTCTGTTATCTTAAGCCATCTGGACTATATTTGGACTATCAATTTTCATGAGATTATCCAGTATCTTAAAAAAGTTTTATATAATTTTTACAATTCTAATACAAGCTTATAATTGTAGTTATTAGAATAGACAAATTTTATTTTCTCTCTATTCTTTTTACTTCTTTTTTTTCTTGTTTATTTTTATTTTTACTATAATCTATATTTTTTATTTTTGTTTTTAGTACTTTTTTATTGATTTTTTTATATATTACATCTTGATAAGCATGTAGCTGCTAGCTGAGAGACCCAGAATAAGACCAAGAGCTACTGAGACAGATCATGCCTGATAAATCACAGATTTATACCTGATTGGCTATAAGTGAGCCTTTGCTTTTAGTTAAATTAACTACAATTATAAATAGAAATTTCTTTGCAAATTTTTTAAATAATTGAATTCTAAATAAAGCAAAAGCAGAATTGCTAAAGTATAAAAAAATTTTTTTATAAAATTTTTATCCAATTTAACTCTGACTCTAATTTTATTTTTAATTCTAAATTAATTTTTATTTACTATAAAGGGTATTATATTTGTTTTTTATGAAATAAATTTATTTTTCAGAAAATATAAAATTTTATAACAAAAGTTTTGTATATTTATAAAAAATTTATAATTTAACTAATATAAAAATTTATTAAAATTTATTTTTTATATTCAGTGGTCTTGCCTATTACTCTTTATTGAGAAGTACCAGAACTTATATCAACAGG